GACGTTTGGCAAACTTTTATTCACCATCATGAATCTGGCTATTTTCTAATATTTAAAGGCTTTTTTGATGAAATCAGTGGTGATATTAATAAATATGACTTTAGAAATATTGTATAGTGAAATGTAAAAACTTAGTAGGTCAGTATTTTCCCAAAGACCAATGCATGATGTTATAAAATCATGCATAGGGAAAAGATCAATTAAAATTGTAAGATAAGACTAATGGGTTTCAATGTAACCGAGTAAGAAAAGTTCATTGATACAATTTCATATTCCACATTGTAACTAACTTTAATACACCCACCACCACTTGTTGAGGTTTGGTATAGTAACATAGAGTATTCCCATTAACTGAAAAGGCTATAACACTCTTTTTCCTTTTCTAACTGTGTATCTGTGTGAGGCTGGATTTTCTTCATATACTTCAACCAAAACAGCATATTGCAACAGATTGATTGCAGAAGTCTATGTGAGAATCCAGCTGTCTTTCCATTAAGCCAGTAGGAAGGAGCTTTACAAAAATGTAAAACAATGCCATTCTTTTCACGGCTTTATTTTTTTAAAAGTATAGTTATTTTTTCATAACATAGGTTGTTTATGTTTAACAGTTAATGGACTTATTAACTAATTTAGTTAAATATTTAAAATTTTTTGTCAATTTTAATTTCCAAATTAGTCAATATAAATAAATAAATATATTTATTTATTGATCCCATTCCCTATAAACAACAGTTCTTTGGGGTCCTCATTAATTTTTTTAAAATACTTAATTTTTTTAGAGCAGTTTTAGGTTCAGAGCAAAATTGAGAGTAAGGTACAGAGATTTCCCATATATCCCCTGCTCCCTCCACATTCATAGCCTCTCCCACCATTAACATGCCCACCAGGGTGGTGCATTTGTTACAATTGATGAACCTACATCGACACTTTGTTATCAGAGCAGGGGGTCCATAGTTTACATTAGGGTCCACTCTTGTACATTCTATGTGTTTGGACAAATGTATATAACATGTATCCATCATTATAGTCTCATACAGAGTATTTTCACTGCCTTGAAATACTCTCTGCTCTGCCTAATTATCCCTCATCCTTGGTAATTTTTAAGAGGGTAAAGGGATCTCAACACCACAAAATTTGAGATCTTCTGGGCCAATGTATTCTTTCCCTAGTGGCTTGTAACCTATGTGTAGAGCAAGTTTCCATCTAGTGACAGGTGTTTTCATTGACTCGTTTCTCTCTTCCTGTGCCAACACCATATCATCTTAAATATTACCACACTATAGCCAATCTCGGTAAGGCTAGTTCCCCACCTGTTCTTTCTTCTTCCAGTTATATTGATTATTCTTGGCCTTTTTCTACAGAAAGTAGGACACACACATAATTTTCCCTATTACAAAATAATATGTTTAATGCAAAAAAGGGGGGGGGCAAAAAAATAAATAAACTGTTGCAAGAAAGTAAAAATTACCCACTACTGATGAACTGTTAATATTTTGGTGTATAGCTTTATATTGTGCATATACTCTGCACACACATACACAATTTTATATATGTATGTACATTTTTTGCATATGTAGGTCATTTTTTAAATTGGGGCAGTCTTTTATATCTAGCTTTTTGCACTTAGTGTTATTTTGAATATATTTCCACATCATTTAGTGTTCTACATCATCGTTTTTAATGGTTGCATGGTATTCTGTTTCTATGGATGTGCATAATTTATGTAACTATTTTTTATGCTGAAATTTTAGACTATTCCTATTCTAAAAGCCTTATTACAGCGAACCTTCTTGTTGCCAAGTCTTCATGCACATGTGAAATTACTTAGGATCGATTCCCAGGAGATGACTGGTTGGGCTAAAGTGAGAGCTTTAGTTGTGAGAAGATGGGATCACTTGGATGGAGGGAGAGGGTGGTGGAAGACAGTGGGACAGGACAGATAGAAAAGAGTAGCAGTTGCATGGGTTTTACTCAAGGAGAGTCCCGTTGAAGTGAGATGTGATATAAATGGGGAAGGAAAAGCCTGGAGGTGCCTGTTATCACTGCTGTTTTCCATGACTGTGATGTATGAAAGGGTAAGAGAGGAGCAGACTAAGCCTGCAATGTTGTGGGGATGGAGGACTAGCCTCAGCCCAGCTCCCCCAGGCCTTCCCAAGAATTCGGGGGAGAGAGGATGTTTTCTCAAGGACAGAGGGCCCCAGTGCTTTTAGTTCTTTGGGTATCTGAAGAGACTCTTCTGTTGCTCTGCATTAAGATTTCCCTCTGGCTTGACTCCCATGGGTCCACTCTGGACAGTTCTTATAATACTAGCTATGAAGGGACTAGCATGGTTAGTGGGCATCTCCTCTAATGTCAGGAGCCAGATTGTCAGCCTCCTTTATCATGTGCCGAGTGGGGTTGGCAGGCAGTGATGGGGAGTGGGCAACTGCAGCTGTACGCAGACAGCCCTAGAAGCAGCCCTGGAAACGGAAGACCAAGATGGAGGCCTGGTCCAGCTCTCTCTTATTAGCCGAGTAAACATGGAACATTCTTAACCATGTGGGGATGTTCTCTAATCTTTCTGGGCTTCAGTTTCTGCAGCTGTAAGTGGGGCTAAGTCACACCTGCCTCACTGGGTCGTTGAAAGGATTAAATTGGACAGCATATGTAAAGCATCTACAGGGTGTAGGCACTGTGAACTGTTTAGTAGTCTTATTTGAGTAAGTCATGTAATCACTGTAACCTGTTTCCTCATCTGATAAGTAGGAATAATCACATACCTTGTGGTAATTAAATGAGGTGAAATGTAAGGAAAGAGCTTTGAAATGATAAATCTCAACATAAATGTTATTTCTGGGTATCTGCAAATGGTGCCACTAACCACCAACTGAGGGTCATTGGTTGTCAGGCCCAGTGGATTTCTACCATGTGTGTAGTAGGGAAGGATGTGTGCAGGGCTGGGGAGAGTAAAGGGCAAAGAGGCTGAAGAATGGGCTGTGTTGTGAAATCTCATCTTAGGCCAGGATTAGATTTCAAAATCAGACTATGAAGTCAAAATCATATATAGTTAAATTTAACTATCTTTAAAGCCCCTGAACTGGCTCACAGGGCATCTCTCAGTAAGTCCAGTAGAATAATTTCTTCTTCCAGCATAGGAACAGATTGCCTTTTCTTGGGTTGGGCATTAGCTAAAATATTGAAGTTAGGTTTCAGGGCCATGCTGAATTAAAAACTTAGCATCACACAGTGAGAGACACATGGGAATGGAGACCAGCCAAAGGAGCAGCATATTCACAGCTCCCTTCGTTCTTAGCTCTCATCTCAAGCTCACTCTGGGTCTTATGCTCAATTCAGCTTTCTGTCCTTTAACAAATATTTATTGATCACCTACTGTGTGCCAGACAGTGGGGAACAGCAGTGAAAAAAACACTTTCTATATTACCTTCTAGTGGGGGAGGCAGACAATAGACCAGCAAAAAAATATTTTTGTGAGATGGGAGTACTATGGGAGACAAAGCAAGACCAGGGAAAGTTCCAGAGTGGCCAATAGTAGCTTAAATGGAGTAACCTGGGAAACTCTGCTGGGAAGCTCTGATTTGCATAAGTCCTACTGGAACAGCCAGTGCAAAGGCCCTGAGGCAGGCAGGAGGGTGCCTGCATGTTTTTGGAAAAGGATCCTAGTGTGGCTGTCATGGAGGGAAGGAGGGAGCTGTGGGGATGAGATCTGATGCGTTAGAGCCTTGTTGGCCATTGTGCTGACCTTGGCCTTTTGTCAGGGTGAGAGAGGAAGTCATTGGAGAGTTTTGAGCAGAGGAGGGAAAAAATATGCTTGCCAAGATCACTCTGGTTTCTATGTTGAGAAACTCCTGAAGAGGGACAAGGGAGCTAGTTAGGGAACTATTGCAGCAGCCCTGGTGAGAGACAGGGGTGGCTTGAACCAAGGTAGTGCAAACTAGTTAATTCTGGATATTTTAAAGTTAGATTGCCATTGCATTTATTGTTGGAATAAATGTGGAGTATGAAACAAGATGAGTTCAAGAGAAGCTCCAGGGGTTTTAGCTTAAGTCTTGGGATGGACTTGCCATTAATCGAGGTCGGGAAGCCTGTGGGAGTAGCTGGGGAATGGTGGTCAGGAACTGGACTTGAGACAGGTTAAGTTCGAGAACCCTACCAGACACCCAGGGGTAGATGTGGAGCGGGATGTTGGATGAATGTAAATCTGGAGCTCAAGGTAGAAGTTTAGACTGGAGCTCTATGTTCAGGAGTTATCAGCGTATAGATAGCATTTAAAACCTTAAGATGGGACAAGAGCTCACAAGGTAGGTAGGGAATAGGTCCAAGGCTGAGGCCCTCGCCTCGCCAACATTAAGAGGTTGAGATGAGAAGGAACCAGCCACAGGACTGGGAAGGAGTGGCTGGGGCGATGGGAGAATTTGGAGTGTGGCGTCCTGGATTAGGTGTTGAGGGCAGAGGGACATGGAGAGAGATGCTGTCACTGTTTGAGTAGTCATTTTTCTCTCTGAGCACTGGCAGTTCTATTTGAGAATGTGAAATACACATAATGCAATTCCATTGTGTTGTCACTTTTGAAAAAGCACCATTCCAGCAGCACGTTGGAGTCTAGGAAAAGCAGTTGCAATTAGGCATAGCGTACAAATTCCTGTGCTTGCTCTAATGCAGCCTGTGGACCCATGTCCAGGCTGGAAAGGGCTTCTCTGAGACATGGCACAGTTGCCTGGAAGCTTTCAGGTACTGTAAGCCTCAGTTTCCCCATCTTTAAAATGGAGCTCTAATAACCTTTTTCCTAGAGTGTTTATGAGGATTCAAAGAAAAACTGCACCCGAATTGCTCAGCCAGGCCCAGGAACCTACCAAGTTCTCTGTAAATGTTAATGATTCTGACTCTCCAGGCCTCTGCCTGGGTTCTGAACGTTGCTGTGCAGGCTCCTGTGTCAGTCTCGTTGGGATTGCCCATGCAGATCCACTCACTCAGTTCTCGCCCCCCAGTAAGTCATGCCACTCTTGTCATTCCAAGAAATCTTAATTTCTTTATTGACTTTTTTTGACTCAACAATTTTTTTTAACTTTTTTTTTTTTTCTGAAACGTTCTTGTTGTTATGAGCCTTTTGTTTTGTTCTCGTTAAATGCACTCGACCCAAAATTGGTTTGGCATATCGAAAAGGAGACCAAGGAGGGGACTGGGTGTGTGTGTGTGTGGGGGGGAGAGGAGGCCTGAATGGACAGAGAAATTGAAGGTGAGAGAAGAGGAACACAGTGAGGAAGACACAGGGAAAGAGGTGGAGACACAGAGAAAAGGGAAGCAAGGGAAACCAAAAGAAAAACAAAACAGAAAATTAACAATATTTAAAAGCAAATGAATTCAGGAGCCCAAGGAAGGGAGTAGGAGAGGAAACCAAGACCCTTCCTTCTCTATACCGTCCCATCTGGGGTGGGGGCATCAAGGCACCAGGTCTGGTTGGGTGGGTGGGGAGGACATCTGGGCTCCTGGGGTTGGCTTTGCGCTGGACTGCAGTGGTGTCCAGCCCCACCAGGGGGCCCTGCCACACAGCTTTGAGGCCTGGGAATCCACCTTGGTGATTCTGGCTGGAATGGGAACCAAAGAACCTACTGCACGATCTCTCTCCCCGCTTGATTGTCAGTGTCTGGAGAGATAAACGGAGGGCTCTGCAGGGGAGAGGATGAGGGACTCCTTGCATGCCTCCAGTCCCCCTGGGAACTCTCCCACCCTGCCCACTCTTCCAGTCCCCTTGCTGGTGTCAGAGGCAGCCTCCAGGTCCAGCTGGGCTGATGCCTGGGCTGGACGACCACCTCCATCTACCCTGGTCTCCTACCAGCTTTTCATAGACCTCTATCCACCCCTCCCACAGTGGAGCTCCTGGCCTCCTGAAGCCAAGGCAGGCCACAGATCTGGCTCCTGCCCTCCTCACAGAGCCATCTGGGCAAGACCATCCCCATCCTTCTCCTCTCTGTCCAGACTCATCCATGAGCTTCTGATGAAAGGGGTTAAGCCTTCCTACCAGAAAATGCCAGAGACTGAACGCAACCCTGCCTTCTCTGCACACCTGTCCCCTATGCAGGACAAACCACCATCTTTGGTCTGACCCCTTCTCCCTTGACAGGGACAAGCCAGCCTCAGCTCCCCAGAAGGGAGGGGCTTTCTAGCAGCAAAAAGGGTCCCTCCAGCCACCTGTCTCTTTCCCCCAGTTCCTCCCTAGAGCTCCTCCCCTTTAACCCAAAGAAGTTCATGGCAGCAGAGACCCGAAGATGTTTGAAAACTCATGGCACTTGTGAGAAAAGAGGGAGGGGCAAGAGACAAGGAGGGGTCAGAGGAGAGGTGGAGGGCCAACCCTGGGGAAATGGCAATGATGGGGCTGGGCTAGTGTGGCAATGGGACTAAGCTACCCCCAGAGTGTGTGTGGGGGGAGGGGCTGGGAAGGCCAGGGTGACAGGCTGAACAGGAGGGGGCTGTGAGAGGTACTCAGGAGACATCCCAAGCCTGGAGCTCCTGGGGTCTACATGTTCGGGGCTGAGCCTCCATAACATGGGTGTCCTACTCTAGGCCCTGGTACCTGGCTTTGCCTCCCCTGAGGGAGGGTGTAGGGGAGGGAAGGTGATCTCGCTCACCTTGTGCCCTGCACCTTCCCCCCTCAACCTCCCCCGCCAAGAGAAGTCCACCTCACCACTCCCAGCCGACCCTCTTCACTCATATCCACCACTATCAAACCCTGCTGCCCTCATTTTCCTTCCCCCATCAGCCTCTCTAGGCAGGAAATCAGCCCCTCATCCCCAGCCCAGAGTTCCAGAAGCAATATACAAGAGGCAGGAACTCAAAGGGACAGCGCAGCCATCTTGGCAAAAGCATCTTTGGGTGTGAGGGGTGCCTCCCCTGGGCCACTGGGGAGGGGAGGGGGAAGACAGGCCCCTGGTCCTGGGGCAGGCAGTGAGGTACACGCTCCAGGAGGGCTGACTGATGCCAGGGGCAGGCAGAGCAGGGAAGGAGGCGACAGAAACAGGTGCCGGGAAGGAAACGGGTTCTTTGTTTCTCTGTTGCTTCTAGATTTTTTTCTGTCTCTGGATTGTAAAAAGCTGCTCTGGCAGCCCGCCCACCCCGGCGGGGGATGCACACATACACAGAGAAGTCCTGGCTGCCAGGGCCCGGCGGCGCTGCTCTGCTCCGGAGAAAGCCCGGGCTGGCCAGGCCACAGGCTCCTGGTGGCTTCAAGTGATGAGATTTTCTTTCTCTTTGTTTTTTTGTCTTTTTTTTTTCTTTTCTATTTTGTTGAAATATTTACAGCAATAGGGGAGGAGGAAGAGAATGGAAGGGGAAGAGAACCCCCTAGGGAAAGATCCAAGCCCAGGACCCACTCCCCAGGGAGATCCAGACCCAAAATCTGCTCCCCAGATAGCCGAGCCCACAGGACTGGGAACTGCCCAGATATGGCCACCCCTGTGGGCTGGGGGCCCTGTGGGGAGTTGTGCTTCATCAGGAGTCACCCCAAGGGAGGGGGTCATTGGGTGCACTTGAGGAGGGCTGAGGGGGCAGGCTTGCTGGGGAGGCAGGGATGAAGAGCAGAGGAAAGGAGCTTCAGAGAAAATTCCACCTTTAAACCACCAGCCACAAATGCACCATTCCTCTCGCCCTGGGGCTTTCTCCTGGGCCAACGGCCCCAGTCTCCAGGGAGCAGGGAACTGTAGTGCAGGAGGAACCTGTCCATCTGTCCTTCTACTCCTGGTGCAGCCCAGCATTTCTGGCTGCAGAAAGAGGAGTAGCTGACAGGTTCCATCCAGCAGGGTCTTTGGCCCCTGGACGCCAAGGCCCTCATTTCCCTCCAGCAGTAGGTGTAGGGGGGAGGGGGAAGTCAAGAGTGGGATGTACCCTTCCAATTTCTCCTTCCTCACTCCCCTCGGGACCTCTTGGCTCCTCCTCACTGCAGTTCCAAATCGAGCTGGTGCACGTGGCTGGTGGGAAACCCTGTCTGTGAACCCTGCACCTCAGGTCCCTATGGCAGAGCCTCCAGGGGCCTGAAGGGCCTGTGGCTGAGGGGAGCCTGGAGAGTGGCCCACCAGCCACTACCTCGGTCAGTCTCCCTCTCCCACCAGAGCCCTGCTCAGGGTTCCCTCCCTGGCCTGGGCCACCAGCCCTTGGTCCGTGAGATCCCTCAGAGACTGGTGACCAGCTGCATCTGCCCATCCCCATCGGGCCCTGGTCCCTCGAGGCCTGGGGCTGCCAGGTAGCCTTCGTGGCTGGGCCGCCGCACCTGGTAGTAGCCCTGTAGGGGATTCCGGGCCACCAGGGCCGGTGGGCGCGAGGTGTAGTAGATTTCAGGGGGGCCGGGGGGCGCGGGTGGGGGTGGGGGCAGGGCTTCACTGGGTCCCTCGGGGCTGCTGTCCGGGTAGGAGGGCGAGTCCCGCAGGTTGGCCCCGCTGGCATAGAGGGAGTCCCGGCCCGGAGGGGAGGAGAGGGGCCGGCTGGTGGCCCCATCCTCCGCCGTGCAGCTCTCCGACTCATCCAGATCGCTCTGGTACAGCACCGACTGGGCCCGGGGCAGCAGCAGTGGCTCCTCCAGGGCCTTGTAGAGAAGTTCGATCTCTGCCCGGTCAGCACCCCCGGGCCCGCCCGCCTCTTCCTCGCTGCCACCCCCCGGCACAGGTGGCACAGGGGGCTCGGGCGGTGGTGGGCCTTTGGCCCCGCTGCTGCCACCCCGCAGGTTGTTGTGCACCAGCTCTGAGATGATCATCTTTTCGAAGGCGGCAGCATCTGCCAGGTTCCGGCCTCGGGGTGGCTCAGGGGCCCCGTCCCCTGGAGGGAAATCCCCACTTCGTAAAGAGTAACTGTTGTTGAAGTTGCCGTTGAGGGGCAGCGTGTCCATGCCGCAGGCTTCCCGGCCTCCCAAGGGGTGCTCTGCAGGCAGAAAGGGGCTGCTCAGGAGGAGGGCCAGGCAGCAAGAAGGGTGCGGGCTGCGTGGGCTGGGGTGCCTGGGCTCACCCCTGACCCTGAGGACCCGGGTCTCCCATTCCCTCTTCCTCACTGGCAGTCGGGACACCCACCATCACAGGTTGGTGGAGACCAGTTTCCCCAGGGTCCCCTCCTAGCTAGGGGCTCCGAATCTCAGCAGTGTGAGGAGACTTGGATGACTGGGTCCACTTCCTGTGCTCTGACCCTCATCACCTTCATTGCCCACCTGAGGCACAAATGCAACAGCAGCTAGCTGCCAAGCTAGAGACAATGCGTGTATATGCTGGTGGGGAGCACCCTGAGTTCACCTCGCTAAGTGAGTGAGGCCATCTAAGGAAGCCACTGACACATTCCCCTCCTGGCCTCGGAAATGTTACCAGGAAAGTCACACTTACTGGGTTCTCGGTAGCTCCCTGAAGGTGCCAGCCAGGAGGGAAAAGAGAGAAGGTGAGTGGGCTTAGAATGCCGAGTCCAGGCTCCAGTTCAGGAGGCACAACGACACCCCATGTGAAGACCCCTCAGGATGCAGACCCCACAATCCCTGACCTGGGCTGTCACCCTCTCCCACCACCAGAGTACTCTCACCTGGGGAGTTGAAGACGGGGGGCGAGGAGGGATTGAAGCCCACTGACTCGGCAATGAGGGTGTTATAGGGGCTGGTGCCCCCACGGGGCTGCAGCACAGGGTTGGTCAGCAGGTGGTTCCCCATAGTACCTGTACCAGAGGTCAGAGATCACAGGAGGCTGGAGACACAGGCCTAGAATCTCGAGGGATGAGCCAGGGGCAAGGGACACTGTCTCACCTCGGTTCAGGGTGGGGGTACTGTTGATGTCACCTGCCATGAAGGAGGATTCTGTCTGTTTCCTCACGGTGTCATTCCACATCCTCCGGATTCGGCTCTGGGGACATAGCCCAGACATGAGGGGTCCCTCAAGTTGCCCACCCTCCAGCATCTTTCTGAGATCACTTGCCTAATGAGCACCACCAGGGACCTGAGCCAAGTGCTGCTCCACCTCTCAGGCCCAACACTCAGCCCCAGAGAGCCCTGCCTAGTGCCTGGCCCCAGCCCAAATACCTGGGTCCCTGTGTAGTAGCGGGTGTTGCTCCGCATGGCTGAGGTCTTGAGTGAGCCGTGAGCGCCCCCAGGCGGGGAGCGGATGCAGCAGTAGGAGTGTCGCAGGCACTTGCTGTACTCCTTGTGCACCTGAGGGGTGAGGACAGGCAGCTGGCAGCAAGGGCCCCTACCTCAGGAGTCCAGAGACCAAGCTACCAGCAGGCATCAGAAACCTCACTGTCTTCTGTATCCCAGCAGCCAGCCAGGTAAATAGACTTTCTCCCCTCACTTAAGCCCATCCTCGTTTCTCCACCTCCACGAACAGTTTCTCCCATTCATCGACTCAACAGCTCTTTAATGAGCATCCTCTATGTACCAGGCATGGTACAGAACAAATCAGACACAAAGCCCTACCTCTCAGAGCTGCTATCTTAGTAGACAGACATAACAGATGCAAACATCAGTACGTGATGTAAGATATCTGACGGTAACAGACCTATGGCTGAGAAGGGGGTTAGGCAGTGCTGGCTGAGGGTGGGGGTGGTGGTTTGCGATTTCAAGTAGTTCAGTGGAGGCTTCACTGAGAAGTACACATTTTGGCAAAGACCTGAGAGAGCTAAGGGCTTGTTGCCTTAGCTCTGGGGAGGGGCAGGGGATAAGCCCTGAGGAGGGTTCACATCTAGGTGACTGAGAGAACAGAGGAGAGTATGGCTGGAGGAGGGGGAAGGGAAGGGTGGTTGCACCCTTCTGGTTGCACTGTGTGGGGCAGGAGGCTCCTGTAAGGAAGGAACTGTCACTGTATGTGAGGAGGGGGCTGTGCAAGGACACTGGTTTTGACTGTGTGTCATGGGGGACATGTAAGGATGTCACTGTCCCTGTGTGTCCAGTGGGGGCCACCAGACGGTTTTGAGTGGGGCAGGGATACAGTTAACCTTGCAGCAGGACTCTGATCGCTGCCTCCTTTATTCCTCGCCTTAGCCTTCCCCACCTTGCTGTCCCCCCAGACCAACAACAGTCTGATGGGACCCCCACTGCCTTCAGGTATACAGACTAAGTATACAGATGCCTTGGCTCAGTTTCCATGGCTTGAGTCTTGTATGCCCTGTATGACCTCGCCACATTCCTCTGCTTCTGTTATCTCCTTCATTTATTTTAACTTAGATTTTAACACACTTTATTTAAAAAGGAAACTTTCTATCACCACAAAACTCAACAGTTCGTCCCATAATTATTAAAGTAGGAAACGTACGTCTGGATGGTGCCCAGAGTCATCTCCCTCTACACCGTCTCATCTCCTGTCACCATGTCCCTGCCCTGTGCTCTCCTAGCTCCCCAAATCCACCGGCTTTCTCACTCCTCCAGTCTGTTGTACCTTGCTGTTTTCCAGAACTCTTCACCTCTGGCTACATTCTCCCTGACCTGAGCCTATCCTCCCCTCGCAGCAGACACAGGCCACCACAGAAGACAGGCGCCTGGGCCCCCTCCCCGAACTCACCTTCTTCTGTAAGGCGCAGTGAAAGACAAAGATGAAGACCCCCTGGAAGGCGTTGAAGGTGGTGAAGAGATAGGCCATGACCACTGACTCCTTGTTGATGAACAGGAGGCCAAAAGCCCAGGTGAGGCCCAGCAGGAAGAGCAGTGCAATGGCCCCCAGGGCCCAGGATCTGGGGGTGGGGAGAGGGGACAGGGATGTCAAAAGTACTCACCAGTGGAGATGCCAACCCCATTGGCCTCTCTGGGTGAGTAGGCCTCAGGGGAATGGCTTGTCCAGTGACACTTCTACCCAGCCTGGGCCTGAGAGGCAGGCAGAGGTCGGCAGTTGGAGTTTATAAATGGTCAGTCATTTCCCTGCGTCCTTCATCCTTTTGGCCGTATTTCCAGACCCTTAAACTATCTATTGCTGTCTATTTCTCTTTAAGTTGCCCTGAAATGGGCTCACTTTTTGAACTCAGCTTCACCCTAAGCAGTCATGTCCCCCAAACCAGAGGTTGGATGTGCTAATGCCATGTTTTCTAATACTCTTTAAGCAGATATATATAAAACAAGCACAGTAAAACACCATCTCTGTCCTTAAATCATATTGCGTGACACCAGAGGTTATAGCACATTTTAGGAAGCCTGGGGTTTGGCGGGGCGGGGAGGGGGTGCTCACTTAATGTTGTCAAGGCGACTGGAGTCAGGCTTGAGCACAGACGAGCTCCGGATCATCTTGTGCAGGGTCACCATGAGGAACACCAGGTTCACCTGGGGGTGGGAGAAGGGGAGGGGCTGGGCTGGGGTTGCTCCGCCTGCCTGTGAGCTCCTGGCCAAGTCTCAGGCTGGACCCCCTTCTTCAGGGCCTCCTCTGCTGGTGTACCTGTCCACAGGTGCCTGCCGACTGGTATAACTGTCTGTTAACGTGGCTCCCGCTGCTGGGAGGATGGGGCCCACAGCCTGACTCAGAGCAGGGGCTCAAATCACAGCTCCTGGATGGACAGACCTTAGTGCTGGAGCTCTACAGACCCACTGTGCTCCCATCTTCTTAGGTGGCTGCTCAGTTCCCATGGTTTTCAAGGGCTCAGGGAGACTGGGGCTCAGCGCCAAGGCTAGCCAGGGTAAAGGATAGAGACACAGTACCAGGAGTACCACGTTCCAACTTACCACGATAACAAAGGAGACGGGCCCGATAAAGCTCCAGATGAAATAATTGTCTACTCGGAGCCAGCAGCTGTAAAGGAAGCAGGGCTGGGGTAGAGAGGTGGGGCCAGGGGTGTGGCTTCCCTCCAACCCCAGGAGCACAGTGTCCTGATGGTCCTGCTGCTGAGCAGGAAACCAGGCAGGAGGTGAGACAGGAGGGGGGGCACTCACGCCTTCTCAGTGCCATAGCTGCGGTAGTCGATGGCAGCTGCGATGCCCACCACCAGCGCCGGGAAGCAGTAGCCGCCCAGGTAGTAGTACTTGGTGCGGGAATACTCGCTCTCGAACACCTCCACCAACAGCAGGTAGAGGTGCACGCCCTCCAGGCACAGCCACGAGAAGGCAGCCAGGAAGAAGTAGTGTAGCAGGCCGGCAAAGATGGGGCAGGCAATCTGGGGGACAGGGGTGCCACAGGTGAGGGCCTGCTGGGCCTGCTTGCGTCTCCTCCCTCCCCTGACTCCTGCCCCATGCCTGGCCCACCTCATACTGGGTCTTGTCTATGCCAACCAGGAAGAGCAGCTCGGCCAGGAAGAGGTTGATGCACAAGTTCTTGTGGATGGTGTTGCGGTCAGTCTGCAGGCCCCGCAGGAAGCAGAATGTAGAGATGCAGATGGCCAGGCAGACCAGGGAGATCACAATGCCCACCCAGGTGATGACTGACAGCAGCAGTTCGTTGATGCGGCCCTGGTACTGGGGAACAGCAGCGGAGCACTCAGCGCCCTTGGCGTTGCACATGGCCAGGCTCACCCTGGGCTCAGCTAGGTGCCAGCTGTGGGCAAGGCCTTGGGCCACAAACACTGCTGGTGCAGTCCCCCCAACCCCTAGCTTTCTGCCCCCAGCCAACTTGCTGGCCCCCACCCCTCTGTAGGCAGCACGCTCACTTCCTCATGCTCTGGAGGGTGTGTGGAGAGATGACAAAGGTGACACCAACTTGCTTCTCCAGAGTGCCTTGGGAGAAGGTGGGACCGTGACCAGAGAGAACCAGACATGTGGCCTCATGCCCTGGGCAAGACTAGTGGCCCCCCATGCCCACAAAGATGGCCTTCCCTGGCACTGCCCATGCTGTACTCTATGATGCCATGCAAAGCCAGGGCAGCAGGCCCGCCCAGAGCAGCGCAGCAGAGTGCTGGCCAGCTTACGATCTCGCGGTGAGCCATGAGCACAGCAAAGTTGGTGAGGTGGCTGCAGGCACACGTTGTGTGGGTCTTGTTGGATTCCACTAGGCGGCAACCCTGGGTCGACCAGTAGCCCAGCATGGAACGCTCCGAGTAGTTCCAGAAGGAGCAGTTAGCATTGAAGTGGTTTTTCGCCTGTTATGTGGTGGCAGGCGGGGAGTCAGATCTGGGGAGTCCCCTTCCAGCCCTCACACCTAGCTATGGGGATAGCAACAAACCTGGAAAAGTGCCTGGGGCTTCAGGCGGCAGTCTGAGATATCTGGGGACAAATGGCCAAAGCTGCTGAGGTGGAGATTGGGGGCTGGTGGCCCAGGGAGGGGTTGGAACTTGCTCTTGGGGTGTATGAATATGCACTGGGGGGGATATGCAGCCTGGGAACACCGAGGATGCTGAGACCTCCATGGGGGTGGGGTACATACATCTCAGCTCACCTCTAGGTGGGCCACAGTGAAGATGACAGGGTCCATTAGGAAGACTCGGCTTGACTCCTTATTGATGGAGGCTGCGATGACCTGTGAGTTCACCACCAGGGAGGCACCTCCCGGGCCACCGGTGCCCGCTTCACCAGCCAGCTTCACTGTGGCATTTTCAGTGGACAGGAAAAGGCCCAGATTGTTGTAGAGGATAAAGACAACTTTGACCACCCCTGGAAAGGACAGGTGCAATAGGGTGTGCCGTCAGCCCTGGTCAGCGCACCTCCAGCCACTGGGACCTGGCTTCACTAGGCTGCAGCCCAGGCAAGTGGGGCTCAGGGAGCTCTTCCCTGGGACCACTGCTCAGCTGTAGACAGTGCCGAACGGCAGGGCAGTAGGCCAGGACACATGGGCTAGGTCCCTGGGCACCTCTCACTTGCGGTGTAACTTCGAGTGAATCCCTAACCTCACTGAGCCTTAGTCCTAAATGGGACAATCCTCCCTGAACTGTCAAATGCTGCTGCACAGGAGTGAGCCCTGCAGACTGCAAAGTATACTGGGCTCTGTGGGGCTTTGGGTCCCCACTAGCTTGAGCAGAGGACTTCTCTGTGTGTTGCTATAGGTCCCAATCTTTTCTCGGACTCTTCAACCCCATAAAAGCTGAGCCACTGTTCTCCATAAGTGGGGTGGCACAGCCAGTGTGGGGCCAGGCACTGACCGTTGCGGCTGTTCTGCTTGATGGTGTTGGCCGACAGCTGGATGGAGTTCTCGCTCGGGTACTCCTGGGGGAACACTAGCTCCTGCACTTGGCCCTCCGTGTTCAGGACCGTGACTTCCAGGACTGTGGGGACAGAGGATGATGGCAGGGCATATGGGGTTGGGGTCTGTCCCCAGTCTGGAGGCCCAAAGTCAAGGGCAGGGTGTCAGGGCCTCCCGCATGGTCTCTGGAACGGGCCGACCCCACAGTTCAAGGTTTGCACCTGAACTTGCTACAGTGAGACCGCAGCACTCACCCACATTTTGCTTGGCAGCTAGGAAGCGGGCCGGCTCCCTGACATTGTCGGCCAGCAGGAAGGCGCCCTCCTCCAGGACGTCCAGGAGCATGGTGGCCGTGTGCACCTGCTCCGTGGCATTCATGTCCTTCCAGGACTCAAGAGCCTCAGGCCGCAGCAGGTTGTCCACTGTCTCCACCACAGCCTGCACAGGTTTGGGGGGGTGCACTGTGAGTGCCCCCACTTCCTCTAGTTCATCGAGCTGAGCTCTGCATCCCCTCCTCTCAACCGTTTTCCTCCAGTGCCAAGTGGAGCCTGTCCCACCCCCCTCGGCCAGCAGGAGCCCCCTGGGCCTCACCTTGATGTAGTCCTTGCAGGTTCTCTCCCGCTTGTGCATCTAGGGAAAGAGATGGAGGCGCTGTGAGGCTCAGCCTCCAGCCCTACTTCCCTCACCCCAACACTCTCACTGTTCTGCATCTGCCACCAATCTGGGGCTGGGCCATTAGCAAGAGTTATGCCTAAGGGATCCCCGACCCTCAGGACCATCCAGAGCAGCCCAGGAGGGAGACCAGCAGGCCTGGAGTCTGTCCCTCCTGGTGGCAGCCTAGCTCGGAGGTACCAGGCCAGAATCTTCCTGAGCCCCTGGGGCGGTGCCCACTGCTGGCCCCACTGTCAGGCCCCACCTTATTGTAGTTCTTGCCAGCTGACTCGCGCTCGATGGGTCGCAGGGCCTGCAGCTGGGCATCCAGGATGTCTAGCAACTGCTCCATTAGCTTCACGGAGGAGGACACGTCCCCCGCATAGATGGAGCCCCGGGTGTGGCGGGCCAGCTCGCTGGCAATGTTGGCTGCATTCTCCCCACTCTTGATCTGCATGAGGCAGGAGTAGGGGACCCCGCGGTGTCAGAGACCATCTTGCTTTCCCATGGTCCCTTTGCACATGCCTCGTCTGCTAGGCCCGTCTCAGTGCTCTCTGCTGCCCCTTCTCCCTATCTGCCCTCTCCCTCACTCTGCAGGCCAGGGAGGGGAACCCACAGTCCTTTCTCTCAGACCTGCTGCCCAGTTGTCTTCCTCTGTCTCCCACTGCTCCACTGCCCCCGCTGCACCCTGCACCCAGCCACCCAGGGCCCAGTGTGTGAGCACAGGTGCCTGTCTGGGAGGGGCGGCTGCTGCTGGTACCTTCTGGGCCACCTGGTTGACCCAGGGGGAGGTGCAGTTGCTGAGGTCAGGGCCCCGGGGATTCCAGAGCCCCAGAGCTGGTAGACACTGGAAGGAGGCAATTCCTGCAGGGACAGACAGACAGGAACAGAGGAAGGGACCACAAGGAAAGAGAGGAGGGGCCAAAGCAGGAGGAAAGGAGATGACAGAGGGGGGGACAAGTGGGAGAGGAAAAAGGTGAGGGGAACATGGAAGACCAGACATGAAGTGGGCCAGATAGTCAAGAGAGGTGTCACTCTGAGGTGACATAAGCTACCCCCAACTTCCCTAAGCTCTCCCTCTTGGCTCCCCTTCCATCTTTAACTACCAAAATTAGAACCTTCTAGCAAAGCCCATCTTGGAAACCCCCTCTCCATGAAGCCTCTTCTGACCCTCCCCTCAAGACCCTGAAGCATGTGGTCCTGGCCTCACCCCTCTGGCACTTCAGCTGCTGTCTCCTGCCACCACTGCTCCCAGGGCTGTTCCATCTCAGCCCGAGGCCGGAACCCACCCAAGTCACCTCTGTGGGCTCCCTGCAAGGTCTGCCTGGCGCTTTGCATGTGGCAGGTGATCAGCACTGCAGGAAAGGACGGGACGGGGTGGATGGGGACTAACTGAGCTGCTATTGTGCCCTGGGAGCTCTGCTGGGCTCTGGGGACATAGCTGCAGATATCAGGTGTGACCCCTTGCTGCGTAAAGCCCATGCTCTGGCAGGGGATGATGGACAGGTAAGTGTATCTATGCTAAGATGAGTGGTAGGCATGTCCCCTGTCCCTTCCCTGGCCAGACCAGCAGTCGCTGCCCCCCAAGCCAGCCACAGTGGAGGTGACCAAGGCCTCTGTACTCACCTCGAGTCCCCTTGGGGCAGGGCCTCTCTACCAGCATGCCCTGCTGGGTGGCTGGCCACTGGACCCGCCGTACTTCTCGAGGTTCACAGAAGAGCTCTGGGGACACATGCAGATTGGGGGCTGGGGGTCGCCTGGTGCTGGGGACCGGGGCTGTGGCTGGAGGCAGGTCAGGTCCCAGCTGGTTGATGGCACCCACTGGGTGCGTGGTGAGAGGTGCCCGGCGGAGCGGGGTGGTAGCTGCAGGTGAGGCCGTGCTGGTGAGGGGCGTGGGCCGGACTGTGGTGGTTGTGCTAAGGGGCGGTGAAGTGGCTGGACCTGGAATGGAGAGGGGACACAAGATAAGAGTCACTCCCATGCTTGGGGCCCCACCACAGTGTGCCTGGGCACTGGGTTGCTGGCATCCTAGCATCTTACTTGCTACTACCCAAGTGAAAGGTGTCTTTGGTCCCTACTGGGTCTGGGAGCAGATCCCCTCTGTAGTCTCTCTGCCCATAGAGGTCCCTCAAACCCATGGGACCATCTAAATCATCAAAAGGTGGTAAAAATTCACTCGTGTGCACCCTAAGGTCCAAGACAGCGACTAGAGAGGGCAGGACAGGGAGGAGGTGAACACCACCATCTTTCATCCACTCTCACTCTGGTCTCTGTAATTGGCCTTGTCTCTTTCCTCAGTTCCCTGTTATGCAAACGAGGCTGGATTAGATCAGGCTCCCTGGAGCCCTGGAGCTGCTCAGAGCTGGCTCAGGGTGGCTAAGGGGACAAAAGAGATTGCAGAGGGGCCCTTGTCAACATCAGCAGCTCTATTTTACCGGATATTTGGACTTCCACCCAAGATTTTGATTGATAAAAGTTCCAAGGCTAAAAGTGCACAAGCCCCTGGGAAAGGCAGTACAGCTCCGTGATTAGATCCAGGGTCCTGGGTCCAAACCCTCAAGTAAGCTATTCCTCACTCACCCAGTGCCTCAGTTTCCTCGTATGTAAACTGGGGGAAGTTAATCCCTGTCATAGACTATATGGATTAGACGAGTTGGTTATCAGCTGCTAAGTGCTTAGAACAGCACATGCTGTGTGAATCTCTCCAACCTGCAGAGCTCCTCCAAACCCACCACCTCTAGATCCCTAAGAGCTCCCAGCATTCACGCCCTATCCTGGGACCAGGGAACACAAGTTGTCCTCACCAGCGCTTGGGTCAGGCGGCCCAAACTCCAGGCTATAGCGCACGACGAAGTAGTTGTTCCAGACATAGAGCTGATTGTCACGCGGGTTGTAGTCCACGGAGGAGACGAACTGGTAGGGGTTGGGAAAGGCCAGGCTGACCGGCTCCTCGCGGTTAGCATTGGTGTTGAAGGCATAATCCACACGGTTGCCGGCTGCCTCACTGTCGTCATCCACGTAGACAGAGCGCAGCACATAGAGGACGCCGCACACCATGAAGGCGTTTGACGCCGAGCGCTTATCGTAGCCTGTCTCCCACGTGCCCTCGAAGCGCAGAGTATAGGGGTTGAGCTGGCTCACCACAAGCCGCCCGTTGTTGCCCTCAGTGGCGTAGATGACCCACAGTCCGTTCTCATCCACAGCCAAGTCGATGTCTGTCTTGCCTCCCCAGCGGTAGGGCGAGGTGTCATGGTAGTTGGCCGTGTTGATGACAGTCTCCCCGCTCTTGATGCGTGTGCGTAGATCGTACTTGACAATATTGCGCGTGCGCTCCTTGTTGTAGAAGACAGCACCATCGTAGACCACGAAGCCGGTGCCGTCCACACGGTTGGGCAGGCGGTAGGTGGTGGTGTGGCGCGCAGCCACGTAATCCTCCCACGAGGCGTACTCTGTCAGCGTGTCCGTGCGGTAGGGGATCCAAGGCATAACATAGATGCGGTCGCCTGCCTGCAGCGGGTCCTTGCACCACGCGCCAGACTGGTGCTCTGACTCGTGTGTCGAAGTGGGCTCCAGCACCTTCTGCAGGGTCCCTGGGCACACGAAGACTGGGTGGGCCGGGGTGGGTGGGGAGGAGACAGGAGGGGGCGGGGAAGAGGGGAGAAAGAGGCAAGTTGGTCACATGGCCGGGCTGGGGGAGCCAGGCTGTCCCCTCCTGCTGCTGCAGTCACGGTTGCTTGGTAGGGCTGGTGATGGGAAGGGGGTTTCCGGGCTGGGACCCCCGCCCTGCCCAGCTGCCCCTCTCCCTGGAGATGTCAACCCTGGAGGCCATTAAGAGCAGGGTTAGTGGGGGGAGGTGGTATCCCTCTTTCCTTCTCTGGCTGCTAGAGACCCCACAGGCTGGGGATAAGGGGTTTGGCAAGAGCCCTCCCAGAGATGTTCTCGTGTGCCTTAAGCTGGGCAGAAATATCTCACTGCAGCCACTGGCTGGTGGCTTTGAGGTTCCAGGGACTCAGTGCCCTGTCCCTTCGCCATCGTCTCCGCCCCCTATAGAAGAGCTAGAGTCGAGGGTCCCATCCTTCACCAACCACACCAGGACACAGATTTTTTTTTTTTTTACTCCACTTTCTTCCTCCTGCAAAAATTGCAAGGTAGTAATGTTTCTGTACCCACTATGGGTGTCAGGTAGATGTCAGTCTTGCCCCCCCCATTCCAGGGTGGAGGAAGCACCCAAGATTCCTGATGCAGGCTGTGCCCCCCTCCCCATGCAGTACCCATACAATCAGGAAAGGTTTTTGAAAAAGTTCAGCCCCTCCCCAAGGTGCCCTGCCCCCAGCCGGCAGGGTCTCTCATGGGGTTTGTTCAGCAGCAGACACTGACACTGGAGCACAGGGATGGGAGGATGACATGGGGACGGAGGGGACTCCCTGGGAGAACTGGGGAGGGGGAAGGAGAGCTGCGTGGAGGGAAGAGAGACAAGGTGGGGGGGCCTCAGCAGAGGTCCTGGCTCCAAGGGAGGCACACTGGAGACCACCTGGGAAGAAAGGGTTAGTGCTGGCAGAGGAGAGAGGGGGTGAGCAGAGAATTCACTCCAAGGCCCAGGCCGGACTGAGGGTCCCTCGAGGGGCAGTCCCAGGTCCAGCTCAGAGGGGGCAAGGGAGGGAACCAGGTGCTAGGATAAAGACCCAGCCCGCCCCAGCCAGGCCCCCCACCTCCCCTGCCCCGACCCCGATTTACCTGCGACCATCCCCGGCTCGGGAGGAGGGACCAAGGCAGCGCTGATGTCAGAAAGGTGGGGGGCCCCCGCCCCACCCCCCCATTCCCTGAAAAGGAGGAAAACCTCAACTGCATCTCATTGGCCCCCGCTGGCCTGCCCACCCTTGCCCCATCACATCCCAGCACCACCTGCTCCTAGCCTCCCCTACTGACCCAGTGGAGGTCTGGACTCTCACGGTCAGTGGTCAGGCTCCCCTCCTCCTCCCAGAGTAGTGATGACGGCCAGAGGCCCCTCCATCCAGGATAGCTGGGGCCTCCCTGCTAGCAGAACCCACGGACAGGCCAGGGTGAGGGTTTGCAGTGAATTCTCTGCTTCTGCTTGGCCTGTCACCAAAGCAGCTGGCCCCAAGGGGGACAGGGAGGGCTGGGACCTGGCACTGGCTTGGGGGGCAGCCCAAGGTTCCCCGGGCACAAAGCAGCCAGGAGCATGCCCTGTTTTAGGAGGGGGAGGGAAGCCCAGGGCACAGAGGTGGGCTGGAAACAGAAGGATCCTGGCTTGGGCCCTTGGGCTCCACCATCTCCCTGTGCCCATGCCTGAGGTGTTGGCCTGCACCTTCTCTCAAGCACACCTGGCCTCCACCTGTTTCCTCTGTGCCCAGGACTCCCCTCTCCCCAAGCCAGGGGGGGCCACCTGCCAGCAGTGTGTATGAGAGGGGCGGTGGGAGGTCTCAGAGCCTGACCTGGTCAGAAGGGCATGGAGGAGGAAAACGTGGTTAGAGGTTACCCTGGGGAAGTGGGAAAAGATGAGGAAGGGTCTGCCTGGGGCCTTTGCCAGCAAGGACCCCCCTCCCCTAGCACCAAGCTCCCAATACTTCCTCCTCCCTCCCCGCACCCGCCTCTTGAAGAGAAAAGATCCAGGGCTTCGCATCCAAACCACCACCGGGCCTGCAAGAAGAGTGTCTGGTGCTGGGTGGGAGAGAGACTCCAGGAGAGAGAGAGGGAGAGAGTGGCGGGGTGCGGTGAGAGGCAGACCCGTGGGCTGGCTGCCCAGGCCTCTCTGAGATGTGGGAGTGGGGCAGGAAGGAGGGGAGCAGCTCGGAGGGACCCAGCCCCACCTCCCTTGAAGGGGG